ATTATGAATTATATATACGTTTAAGTTACTTTTAAAATAATTTTTATACCTGTTTTTCAATACTCTCCAATGCCAATATATCAAATTTTTCTAATATATCTAATATATATTTTGTGATTTTAACTTTATTCTGCGACATATACTGTATTAAATATATCACATAATCAAAGTTTCTAATATAACATGCTTTAAAGAGTAATGTTTGTATAATTATATTATTTGGTTCATAACCAATATTATTCATTTGCTCTACAAGCATTTTTGCATCACTGCACTTGGTACATCCAAGAGCTAATACTCCAAATGTTATGATATTTGGTATCAAATGATAATTTTGAATTATATTGAGTAGTTCCTATATTAAATTTAAATAAATGATAATATAGAAATATTATTAAAAAGATTCAAATTAATTATAATAACTTACTGTAGCAGCATTATAGTCCTTTCTCATATTTCTTCTCTTAATAAGTACATTGAAGAAAGTTATGTCAATTTCTAATTTATTTTTATCAATATATCTTAAAAAATAGTCTTCTGCTTCTTTTGTAGGTGGTAGTAGGTTTAAAAGTAATGTTAATGTTTTTGTATTAGGTTTTACATTATCATCTTGCATATGTTGTAAAAATTTGTCAATTCCACCAAATAAAAGTAATTGATGTTCTTTTAATATATCATTTAAACTTAAGTTTAATGGTACAGTTACTTCTGATAATAAATTGCTATCATTTAAAGTAGAGTATTTATTATTTTCAATTAATGAAATAAGTGAAGTTGTTATGGTTGGTGGAGAATGTAATAAATCTGGTCTTCCACTTTTATTAAATTGAATCTGAGTATTCATTGATCCTGGTATTAAAATATCATTTATTTTTAAATCACCAAATTTTGTATCTCTAATAGCCCTTAAAAGAAGATTATAGTGATATATATTTGGTTTTATGTTTTTTATTTTCATCGTATGCCATAAAATTAAAGCATATTTTAATCCATTTTCTGTGTCTCCTATTATCCCATGGAATAATGCAGCAACTATATCTGGTGAACAAATTCCTTTATCCTTTGCTTCATCTGCTATTTGAAAAGCAGTTACAATTTGTTTATGATGACTATAAGCTTTAATCAAAGTTGCATAATGTACATTATTTAGATTTATTTGCTTCACATAAAAGTATTCCCGTAACCATGCCAAATGTTTTAATGCCACATTTGAATCATTTGTTTCAGCACATACATTTATTAAACTAGTATAGACAGATAAATTAGGAATTAACCCCCTTTGTTTTATTATTCTAAACAGTTTAAAACATTGTTTTATATCACCTTGCTTAGAAAAACCAAAAAGTAAAAGCCTATATATATATAAGTTCGGCTGAAAAGCATTTTCTTTCATGATATCTAAAACATTTAAGGCCAATTTTAAATTTTTATTAGATACATGAGTCTTAATAAGTAGACAATAATTTTTATAAGTGAATGCTTCTTTTCTTGGTATTATAACCCTCTCTATAAATTCTTCTTCTTTCTCTTCTGCCGCATCCATTTTAATTTTCTCAAATTTTTCATATGAAAGTTTTCCAAATGTATCTGGATTCTCTACTAATAAATTTTTACTGAACTTTCTACTATGAATTGATAAATAAGAAAGATTACATCTACTTTGTACATTTAAAACATGTTTTTTATTCCAATTCACTTGAATATGTGAATATGTTTTATTTTCACAGTTAATAAAGTAATAATTAGGTAGTTGTAGTGTGCATAAACATTGTTTTGTTTGATTAATAGAGTAATAATGTTGATTCATATAACCTACAATGGTCTTTGATTTTAAAAAATAATTTGTATTGAAGAAAGGCATGATTATTAAGTTAATTGATCTTTATAGTTAATTTTCTTAAGTTAATTATTATTTAAATATAATATTTGTTTACAGTCTTGTAATAAAATAACTCACATCTTTTACTTTTATTAATGTAATATAA